ATGTATTTCCTCAGCGACCAGCACGGATCAGCTCCAGGCATGACAAACCGGATATTGTCCTCTTTTGGAAGACCAAACAATTAGTTTCGCTTTCACAATGAAACACACAGCATCTCCACAACATGGCGGCGGCAACAATACTACAGCGAGAATAAAAGTTACGCCTTCTTTCTTTGCGTGAACATTTGGGCGGTGTTATGCAAATCTTCCCACATAGTGACGTAGGTATGTGGGGGCGTGTTAGAACGAGGCGTTTTAGGTAGGCGTGGTTGACTCTTAAATTTTATAAAGAATATCTCTTTGGATTTGAGACTTTAGTCTTTGCAACTTTACAGATCTTCTTTATGCACCAAGAGCTTGTAACACTCCAAAGAGAAAGGAAAAATTGAAATCGCATCATGAGACCCCTTTAAGTAGAATTTTTTTCAGAATCATTCTCACCAAAATTTCGGTGCTTCCCTAGTTATTGTTTGTTATTGATGTTTTAATCAGGTTACTTGTCTGGTCGGTAAGTAAAATTCTCTTTCACTTGCCCCTTCACAAAATCCACTTGTCCTGGACATTATAAACTACTCAGTGTCTCAATAACTAGATTTTTACATTGATGAATTTAAGTTGTGAAAAACTCACTGCAATGATAATCTAGGGGATTATAGGTGGTTGCCAAGGTGTTGCTACGCAGTTGCTAAGGTTTTTGTGTGGTTGCTAGGGTGTTATGGGTTGTTGCCAAGGTGTTGCTATGCAGTTGCTAGGGTGTTTTTATACGGTTTTTCTACGTGATTGCTAGCATGCTTTGTGTGGCAAAGTGTTGCTATGGAGTTGCTAGGGTGTTACATTGCGGTTGTTAGGGTGTGGTTGCCAGGGTGCTGCTATGTGATTGCTAGGGTGTTTTGTGTGGTTGCCAGGGTGTTGCTGTGCAGTTGCTAGGGTGTTGCTTTGGGATTGGTAGGGTGTAATTTGTGGTTGCAAGGGTGCTCTGTGTAGTTTCCAAGGTGTTGCCAGGGTACTGCAGTTGCTAGGGTATTGCTCTGCAGATGCTAGAGTGTTTTGGGTGGTTACCAGGGTATTGTTATGTGGTTGCTAGGGTGTTGATAATTCAATTTAATTAAATTCAAATTTATTTGTATAGTGCTTTTCATGATACATATCGTTTTAAAGCAGTTATTGGGTTGCTAATGTGTTCTATATGGTTGTTAGGTGGTTTCATGCTGTCTCACATCAAAAGGGTCATGCATCCTCATGTCAGTGATATTCTGCTCTCTAGATGTTGTGTCCGTCCTTTAAGTCTGTCTTTGTCTTTGTTATGGTCTTTTTAGCAACATATGTTATATGTGTCAGAATATATGTATTTATATTTTACACACACACACACACACACACACACACACTTTCTGTTTCATTTGCATGTACAAGAGAGAGACAGCAGCACTAAAGCAGAGAGGCAGATTAGGGCTGTGAGAAATGCTTTTCATCTCTGCTGATGCTATTAGTCGAGGCTCTTTATGGATGAGGACAAATTGAGAAAGCTCTGCCGCTGGCTACGGCGCTCATAAGAGAGCGCTGCATATTTAATAGCTCTGCATTCGTATGTTGTCTTTGTCAAATGAAATAAATGCTGATTAGCATACTTGCCCAGAGGGTGGGCCGTCTCTGACAGGAGCACACGCTTGCCAGATTTCCAATCGGAAAATGTGTTTGATTATTAAGTAGACGGGTGAAGGAGGCAGAGTTCCTGGAGATGTGCCTCCCCTGTTCATTTCATTACAGCACACTTGGAAAACTTGTTTCAGTCTACAACTTGAACATTGTTCTGGTAGTTAGTGCTCAAAGGTTTGGGGGCAGTAAAAAATTTTAATTTTTGAAAGAACTCTCATATGCTTATCAAGGCTCCATTTATTTGTTTAAAAATACAGTAAAACAGTAAAAACTGTGAAATATTATTACAATTTAAAATAGCTGTTTACTATGTGAATATCTGTTAAAATGTAATGTATTTCTGTGATGCGCAGCTGTATTTTCAGCATCATTACTCCAGTCTTCAGTGTCACATGATCTTCAGAAATCATTCTAATATGCTGATTTGCTGCTCAAGAAACATTTCTGATTATTATCAATGTTGAAAACAGTTGTTGAATTTTTTTGTAACATTAAAGTATGTAAAAATATAAGTACAATTTCAAAGTTCTTCAAAGAATGCCATGGTTAAAAAAACAAGATATTACCATTGTCTAAAAAATCCAAAAGGTACTTTTTGCAAGTCATGTTGCTTGTAATGTAATCCAGTTTAGCGAGTTTTAGCATCTTTTATTTCTCTGTTTGTCGGCTTTATTTGGCTCTTCCTTTGTGAAACTCTATCATTTGGATTCATGACATGCTTCAGGTGTTTGTTTTATTCCATTAATAAACTCATCCGGCAGAGAGTACTGATCAGGATAGAGCGGTTCACTTCAGAAATGTGCATTACACATACAGATGTCACTACAAAATGCTGTCAATATGTGCTGATTTTAAGATATTCAAGATGTTTCATAGCAGATTGATGTGCTGAATGAATGATTCTAAGATATCGGTGTAATATTTTGCATTTAAAGGCATGAAAAACAAAGATCACATTTTAAGTGAGACATCAGTTCTGATGCAATTTTAAAACATGGAAAGCAAATCTGACCCTATTTACTTTCATAATGGTGTTATTGCGGCTGTTTCTGAAATCAATTCCTCATGGATAAAACCAAGTCCTGGCCTACATTTATTGTCCATCTGTTTCATTCAGAAATGCATCACATTATGGAGGTAAACTGCTTGTGATTGTCGACTTTGAAGTGTTAAAAGACAGTGTGGACTGTAATGTAGGAACTCTACACATCCCACACACACCACAGCACATTTCCACCAAAGATCACTGAATAAAATCCCATGTTGAGAGTAATTAGCCTTAATTAGTCCAACCGTTGAACTTGCACTGCGCTGTCCGTCTTAATAAAGCTCACAGAATAACCTCAGATGAACATAGAATTCCTCAGAGTTTTCTCTTTCACGGCTTAAGAAACTTCACGTTTATGTCTCATTGAAAGAGCTGATTTGTTGCCATTTGTCTTAAAACTGCTATGAAGAAGACATTAATTAGCCAAATGTTGACAGATGCATATCTCAGGTCATCTGGTCTTGGGAGAATTTGAGGTGTTTGAGATCTTTGGAATGTTGGCTAATTTCTCTTGAGATGCTGTTGAAATCTCTCTCTTTTTTTTTCCAAAAGAAGAATACTTTTGCGTTCCACCAAGAAACTTTGCATTTGCTCAGAAATCATTTGCAAGACTTTAGCGCTCCACAGAGAAACTGTTCGCTCGCAAAACATTTGTGTTCACTTGCAATTTTTTGCGTTCTCAGAGAAAATTAGTTTTTGCTTGCAAAATTTTTGCATCCTCTGAAAAACATTGTTTTTGATCGCAAAACTTTTGTTTGCTTGCCAAATGTTTGCATTCCCAAGAAACTGTTTTTGCTTGCAAAACTTTTGCATTCCACAGACAAACTGTTGGCTCGCAATTTTTTTGCATTCCCTGAGAAACTCTTCACTTGCAAAATGTCTGCGTTCTCCGAGGAACTTTGTATTCGCTTGCAAAACATTTTGTTCACTTGCAAATCTTCTGCGTTCCCCTGAGGGACTTTGTAGAATACTTCAGTCAGATCTCCATTTAATTCTGCTTCTGTCTAGGTCTAGATCTTTGTGCGATTTTTCTTTCCTACTGGACCTTAACTGTAGCATTCAAGAAACACTTTGCCTAAAAATAAACTTGAGAGGAAGTCACTCTATAATTTCAGCTGGGATTTTCCTCTTTTGAATTCAGTCTGGTATATTTGTGCTCGAAACTCTTGGGGCCCAAATCGGCTGATAAACCAGCAGACTGCTAGTGACAGAAAACCACAAATGACAGTGTGGCGTTCCTCTCTTCACCCAGCAGGCGCCGCGTGTGTGTGTGTGTGCGTGCACCCTTTAGATTCCACAGGAAAGGAGCAATTTCCTATTTCGGACCACAAAATATACCCGCGAGCCACAGCTTTATAGGATAGTGTGTGTGTAGTGTGAGACTAAGACGATATCTTTCTCAGGTGTTTGTGTGTGTACTCACCTTTTCTTATCTCTTCTTTGTGTTTTACAGCATCCATGATCACAGAAACCGGGAGAAGGTCGTGTCTCAAGCTGAAAGTGTACGTGAGACCACCGAGTAAGTGTCACTTATTACAAACCACACGCGTGCGATTCTGTCGGAGGCATTGGGTTACAGAAACTCCCATGCCTTTCAATGCAACACACTTTAATGGACTTTAAGGGCAGGTGACTGCTTCTGTGTGCTTTCCTCTGATTGGCAGGTGGGTCGGGCTGCTGAATTACCACTAACATGATTGGCTTACGGTATCTTTTTCATTTCTTCTGTTTTTGTAGATGGCTGCGAGAAAACCATAGGCATTCACGACCGCGTTTTTGTCGATGACAAAGTAGACAATGCATTAGAACCAAGAGGTCAGTATGGCTTGAAATCACCTTCGCTCTGTTCAGTCTGTGTGCTTTACTTGCTCTAATCACTCTGTGCATGTGTATTAATGTACCTTGATTTGACTTGCGCCTGCGGCTTCTCTGACACTTCGAACCACAAAGACTGTTTTATTTATGCATGAGGTACACATCGTATTAATAATGCATTCTCTTGTAATAGCTGAGGGCTGTCTGTCAACATCTCCACCCTGTGCACAAGCAATTAAGCGACCAGAAATTAGCCATGTGACCTTTAAGCGAGCCAAAAGCTTCAGTCAGTCAGTGTCTATCGTGGCTTCCAGCTGAAATGCATGGATTATATTTACACACTGTATCAATATATGCATGCACATCGACTACGGGAAGAATTAAGATCCAAAACTTGGATATGCACGATGGTTTTGTGCCAAATTAGCAGTGTCACGTGGGACGATACCAAGCTTGTTTTGGCTTCTTCCTGATAAAACCCATTACATCCGAACACATGGCACTTGCTAACATACTGTATGCACGACTCCCGGCTCGTAATATTTATTGCCATTTCTGTCACGCTAGCTTTGACTTTCATGGTGTCATGATCAAACATTGGAGCTGCATTCAAATTCAAGATGTCCTGAAGTAGACCAAGGGAGAAGTCGGACTGTAAATTGGTGTAAAGCCCACTGTGACACGAAATGAGCGTCTGACCGTGATCAACCACAGACTGCTTTGGTTTTATGTGGTGATTAATGGCGAATCCGTCCACAGGCATATTGCCTACACTGTAAAAAAAATTCCGTAAAATTTACGGTAAAAAACCGGCAGCTGTGGTTGCCGGAATTTTACCGTAAAAAATACGGTAGTAACGTTTTAGGTTTTACGGTTTTAACTTAAATTTACAGTTAAATACCATAATTTCATTAACTGATATAATGTTAATATACCAACCTATTGAAGTACTGAAATCTGTTTTGTACCCAGTCATAAAAATGCGGAATGTCACAGAAATGTGGCAAAATTTGGATAAAAAGAAATTGAAAGTATGCGTAATAAAATCGCGATATGGACTCGAGTCTGAGTCACTCCGTCACCATTTCATTTGAGAAAACTCGTCAAATTCACTACAACCCACCAAACTTACTCTGGTTAAAAGTTTGGTTAAACTTAAAGAAATTATGATAGAAACATATTGTACAATAGAATGTACGTCTCAATATAGTAATGATAATAACAATAATTAATGATTGTTTATTAAAGCATTATTTTTTTAAGGAATATCAAAAAAAAATGTTTATCCACATTTTAATATAAACTATAAACCTTTTGCAGCACTTTGTTTGCAAAAAAAAAAAAAAAAAAAAACGGGGAAAAAACAAGTTGTTGAAATTTCATTTGAATGCATTTTAAAATATTAAATTGTTAAAGTAATATACATTAATTATAATAACATTGTTTTTGATAATATATTTGCATTAAATCTTAAAACAGAAAAATTAAGAACAGACAACAGAATTGTTTTACCATTTTAATAAATTATTAAAGTTATATTAATTTAATTGATTAGACAAGCTTTTTTATTATTTAAATTAAATTAAATTTTAAATGCAAATGGAAAACACTGTTTTCAAAAAAATAATAGGATTTGTTCAAATTTAATTTTGTTACATTTTAAAAGATTAATTCAATTGCTAAAGATTTTTAAAGCTATTGTTTTTGATGATACATTTGTATTAAATCATAAAGTATTAAATAAATCATAAGAATGAAATTAAATCATACAGAATAAATCAGATTAATTTAAAACAACAACACAGAATTTCTGAAAAAAAATCAACATTTAATTATTATTGTTACAATTTTAATAAATTATTAAAGTTTTATGAATTCAATTGATTAGACATGCTCTTTGATGATTACAATCTAATTAAACTATTATAAATTAAATTAAATAAAATTTGCTGATTTGCCATATACGGTATATATCTCTGTATTTTCTATATTTTTCTTTTTGGATTAAAAAAACAACAACTTTTATTTCACATCCTGCCTAATGTTGTCCAGTGAAACAATGTTCATATTAAAGGCTATGAAAACAAATAGTGAATGTAACTATGTAGGCTATGCTATATATTATGTGCATTACTTTATTACATTGTAACATTAAAATCTAAAAACAAAAATAATGCTTTTAAAGCAGAAGTTAAATTCAGTAAGCTAAAAATAAAAATGAAAGCACAGACTAATTCACTGTACAGTTACTGCTATCATAAAAATACACTTACTTGTAGGTTTAAAAGTCTACATATGGCACATTCATTGGCCAGCTACAAATATTTCAGCAAAATGTGTATTTTTTTTTCATCTGAATTTTTGCGCTCCGTCTGTATGGCACATATGTGCTGCGGCGCTTGTTCCCTGAAGTCTGTGAAGTTTAGCGGAGACTCAACAACAAAATGGGAATATTTCCATGACTTTCTAACATTTACAGATGGAGAATATAGCTGTGAAATGTAAGTTCATTGAGGAAAACGGCACATCTCAAACGCATTACACAGCAACAGTAGCTGTTAGCAGCACATGCAGCCTTTCTGACGGGACAAACCGCTTTAAACTACATGTGTTAAAGGGTTAGTTCACCCCAAAATGAAAATTAGGCTGTTTTACTGCCCTTAAAATAAAGCATGCCTCATGTTTAGAACAAATTGGATTATGCACTTTCCCCGCAGCAGCTGACTCTGTGTATCAAATTACTGTATATCGATATAAACAGTATTGCCTCATACCATATCGTTTAAAAATATATATTGATATATCATACAAACTCGATACTGCCCAGCCCTACTGTAGACTTCCTGATCTGTAGATGTACAGATTATTTCACAGGTTACACTTTATTTCCATAGTCTGCTTTAGACATTCTACAAACTATAAGAGACTTACTTACACTACCGGTCAAAAGTTTGGGATCAGAATGATTTTTTTTATGTTTTTAAAGGAGTTTCTTCTGCTCATCAAGGCTGCACTAATTTAATCAAAAATACATGAAAAAATAATAATATTGTGAAATATTATTAGAATGTAAAATAGCTGTTTTCTATGTAAATATACGTTAAACTGTAATTTATTTCTGTGATGCGCAGCTGAATTTTCAGCATCATTACTCCAGTCTTCAGTGTCACATGATCTTCAGAAATCATTGTAATATGATGATTTATTATCAGTGCTGGAAACTGTTGCTGCTTCATATTTTTTTGGAACCCGTGATACTTTTTTTCAGAATTCTTTGATGAATAAAAAGTTCAAAAGAAGAGCATTTATTTAAAATAGAAATCTTTTCTAACAATATACACTACAGTTCAAAAGTTTGGGGTAAAAGATTTATATTTTGAATAAATGCTGTTCTTTTTAATTTTTTATTCATCAAAGAATCCTGAAAAAAGAATTGCAGTTTCCAAAAAATATTAAAAAAAATTGGCAGCACAACTGTTGCCAACATTTATAATTCTAATAATAAATCAGCATATTAGCATGATTTCTGAAAGGTCATGTGACACTTTATACTGGAGTAATGATGATGGAAATTCAGCTTTGCATCACAGAAATAAATTCTATTTTAAAGGGTATTAAAATAGAAACCATTATTTTATGTTGTAATAACATTTTGCAAGATTACTGTTTTTTTCTGTATTTTTGATCAAATAAATGCAGCCTTGATGAGCAGAAGAGACTTCTTTAAAAAACATTACAAAAACATTACTACACGTCAGCTAACTCTCATTAGAGTAATAGTAGACTTTCAGGTTGGGTTTATTGTTAGGGTGCTTGCAAAGTTACTTATAGTTAGTAGAATGTCTGAAGTGAGCTATCAAAATAAAGTGTTAACATTTCACAGGCTCAGAAAACCAGGTGCAGAGCCAGTTTTAGTTTAGTAGGCGATCCGTGGTGAAAAGTTGTTAAAAGCGCATGCTTATATCAATTAACACTGCAGATAGTGTCAGTGTAGTTGAGTACAGTATAGTTTTCTCATGCATTTTCACCTTGCCAACACACACCCACCCAGGCCTGAGTTCCTGGCAGCGCCGTGTCATGATGGAGGCATTGATTTATTAGTCCAGATCCCCACTGAGAGGCTGGAGGTGTCTGTCTGCCCGCCTGAATGAGCCAGCAAACTGCTCTGTCCTCCCCTCCCAAGCATATTTATCTGTCTCCTTTAGCGCCACACCTGTCCGTTTCTCCCGCTGACGTCCTCAGAGAGACGCCATTTGCACTTACATATTGTTGTTCTTTTGTTAGTTTTGATTACTTCTATTGTCCTCATTTGTAAGTCGCTTTGGATAAAAGTGTCTGCTAAATGACTATATATATATATATAAATTCTACAACCAACTGCACAGAAGTTGATCACATTTTTTCGGTGTCTCCTCGTTTCCAGATGATACCAGTCACGAGGCTGAACCGTCCCGGAGCGACGTGTCGACTTCAGGCCTGCGGCACCAAACGTCACGCCCCTTGCTGGCCCTGCTGCTGCTCTGCATCTCTGTGTTCTTCACCTTATAGCCCCTCACCTGCCCCTCAAGCAGCCCTCGGGAGACCCCGCGCGTCCCGGCGCCGGGGAGGGCTTGAGATTCACCAGGAACACTTCTGCTGCGCTTTTGTTTTGTTTTCCAATATTTAAGTGGTCCTTCGCTGTCTTTGATTAAGAAAAGTCAATTAGTCGCGCGAAGAAGAAATTCAGATCGCCTGTTTAACCAACCGACCAATCAACTGCGGTGGCCGGTCGCTGCGGATTGGCTGCCAGGAGGAAGGGGGCGGAGTCTCAGATTTGATTTGGGTCCATTGGGAGCGAGTCGCTCTTTTGTGGGTAATTAGAGCACATGTTAAGAAACGCCGGAGGCCCTGTGAGAACTGAAGGTTTCTAGGTGGGTGTCACATAAAACAGACATAAACATCAACCCGAGTTCACCGGCTCTGCTGTTAGCGATATTATATATACACAAAGACTCTTGCCTTTCGTCCTTCGTCTGCCTTCCCCTAACAAATTGCAGAATCCATCGGAAGAAACGGTCTGTTATGCGTCTCGCCGCAGGATCTTTCCCAATCGAAGGAAGACGTTGGTTAGTCCGAATTTGCATTTGATTCTCTACTGCAATTTGAGGGACTTGTCTTAGTAGACCACACCACTAAAAACAATGATTTTGTATTTTGTAAGATAAACTTAACTGCAACATAAATATCTATATTTTTCCTATGACCTTTTATCAATTGATATGAGATATCAACATTAACGGATCATGGAAATTCTTTTCTTGTCATAACTGTGTGTCCGACTCCATTAGGAACCAAATATGGAAAGGGGCTCCGCATGATGTTTTCCCCTTTTACATGGGTGGAAAAAATAAGCATTTGTTTGAATAGGCCTTATACTGTACACTATACTAATATCTCCTGGAAGTGCTTCGAATTCAGCATTTCGATCGGGGAAATAAAGTCTAGTTTCATTTGTTTATTTCATTAATGCATCTGTTTGTTCTGTAGCTGTTAATTGGTGCAGTTCTGACTCGTTTAATATGCTGATGCCTGCAGATAGTGTCAGTGTAGTTGAGTACAGTATAGTTTTCTCATGCATTTTCACCTTGCCAACACACACCCACCCAGGCCTGAGTTCCTGGCAGCGCCGTGTCATGATGGAGGCATTGATTTATTAGTCCAGATCCCCACTGAGAGGCTGGAGGTGTCTGTCTGCCCGCCTGAATGAGCCAGCAAACTGCTCTGTCCTCCCAACCATATTTATCTGTCTCTTTTAGCGCCACACCTGTCCGTTTCCCCCTCAGAGAGACACTGTGCTTTCCAAAGCCATATCACGCTCAGTGATGATAACCGCAGTCTGTGTGTCTGCACCAGTAGACCAGCAGAAATGCACTGAGACTCCAAACAGCCCTGCCTCCGTTATTACTGAGGATTCTGACAACAGGAGTCTGGCTCATTTGCTGCTTAAAGCTTAGACGGCAAATGGACGTGTACTAGTGTTGTTTTTTAGTATCATTCAGATACTATTACATGTTTCACGTAGCAAGGTATTTATTTATTTTATTTATATATATATATATATAT